TGTCGACATACTTTCTGCATTTAATTTTCCTCTGACCTCATTGCTTACAATCCACTCCTAAACTGCCACTCCCCTGACCTCTGATCGATTGCATCACCACAGCTTACTGAGAAGGCTGCCTAGTTGGCAAGGTGCGAATTCCCTGGCAGGAGCACCAAACTGGCTCTGGTGGAGAGCTTGCACCACTCTGACCTCATAGTTGCGTCACCCTTCCCGCTCTGCCTCTGATAGGCAACAAGAGGTCAGGTGGGCGCCAACCCCCACCATGGTGTCCACTACTGCCTTATATAAAAGATTTGTACCTGAGAAGACAAATCGGCCTCTCACTGGGCCATTTCCTGCCTGACATCATGATGGGCCTGTTGGCGATGTTTTTTATCAAATCTATCAGCCGCTAAGTGACAAGGGCTATGTATACAGGCTATGTATTAATTTATTTATTTAGATATGTCTGTCCCACAGTACTAATACATAGCAAGTTTCGCTACTGTGTTTACCAGCTGAGAAATGAAATTCTATTTGCATTTAACCTGATACAGCCTTTTTATAGACTCTGTAATAATATTTATCTTGCTGAGAGAGAAAGCCGTATAGGTAGGTGGCTCTTTGAAATATATAAGGTGTTCTCCATCAGCTACCTTTGCACTCCTTATCTTGGCAATTTCTCCCTTATCAAATATTTGCGTTGTCAACATGTCTCTCCTTGTCTAAATATAAGTATCTCCTTTGAATGGGTGATACTACATTGCACTTACCTTATTTCAGCTAGTTTGACTTTAAGCCAAATTCAGCCGGCCCTTCTCTGGTGAAGAGGAGGAGAATTATAGGAATGGTGTCATATCTATCAGCTGGTGCATATGAGGCAGCAAGCCATATTGGGTTACTATTTTGTTCTGTGCTTGAGACCTAGATTTAGAAACTTACTGTAAGCCAATTTTAAAACTTTTTTCTTTATTAATTTTCTCTTGCTCTGTAACTATAGCATTCCTGAATGCCTCTCAGCTCCTCTTTCCTGCATGGGTGGTTGCTGGTTGGTTCCCACTTTGTATCCACAATTGCTTATTTATTTTGTTGTTCTTATTCCAATGTATTTTTAAAAAATTTATAACGCCGGATGAATTGTCCAGTGCATTTCAACCAGTTTCCCCTCTATCAGAAGGTACTGCATTCCTATATCCACTTATAAGGAAGCAAGTCCTATTGAATTCAGTGAAACTTCCTTCAGAATCAGCATGTATTGAGTTAAACCACAGAAGTTCAATTCACCTCTGATGAAGGCATTTGTGAAGCACGGTTAGCAGTTTGTTCTATTTCAGCACCTGGTTAAAGTTCACCTATTCTTCTTTTTCTGGCTGGCTTTTGTTCTGTGGCCATTAAAAGGATTTGATACACTCAGTACATAAGGAATGTATTTTTGGTTCTGTTTTCCAAAACTATGTGTCAGGGAACTGACATCGGAGCTAGAGGCGAAGAGAAGGCTCTCAGATGATGCTGGAGAAGGGCCCAGCAGGGAGAGAGGCAGCTCAGTAGAGGGGGAAGCAAATCAGCGCAACACCAGGGATAAAGGGATGGGGGAATCGGCGAGAGGGCTCCAGGACTCTTCACTGGACACCAGCGGGGAGAGCACAGGTCCTCCGATACCCACGCCCTCCCTGCGCAGAAGACTTCCGCGCAGTGAGAGTAGGAGGGGACTGGGCGTCAAACAACTTTTATGTTGGAAGAGGTTTAAGAAACGCCCACTGACGGATTCTGCTAGCGACTGAGGCAGCCACGGAGAGAAGGGCTGTCCAGTCAGAAAGGTTTAACAAGGCAATTTAGCCTGGAGAGGCGACAGCTTACGCACGAGCAACCCCATACGCATTACACTATGGGTTGACGTCACTTGGATTTCTCCCAAGATGACCACGTGGGAGAACATCTGAACTGGCTCCTTGGCCCACCCTAATCTGCTCTTCCACTCCCCCTCCCTCCAGCACAATAAAACCTAAGGTTGTTTTTAGCCACTGAGTCAAGTCAGGCTTCTCCAGCCTGACTACAAATTCTACCATCCTTGATTATTGGTTTTGCTTTTTCTCTGGGGATAATCAAGGGTAGGGGGAGCAGGTGGTGCTGTGGTCTAAACCACTGAGCCTCTTAGGTTTGCCGATTGGAAGGTCAGTGGTTCGAGGGTGAGCTCCCATTGCTCTGTCCCAGCTTCTGCCAACCTAGCAGTTCAAAAGCACACCGGCGTGAATAGATAAATAGGCACTGCTGTGGCGGGAAGGCAAACAGCATTTCTGTGCGCTCTGGCTTCCGTCACGATGTCCCATTGCACCAGAAGTGGTTTAGTCATGCTGGCTATATGACCCGGAAAGCTGTCTGTAGGTAAACGCTGGCTCCCTCGGTGTCAGGATGCTGTCAGCGGCTCCCAGCTAGTTGCCCAGAAAAATATAAAGACAAGGAAAAGTTTCTTACCGTCCTTTTTTATTTCAGTCTTTACAGAGAGAGGCTATAGAACCCAGCCTCTTGGATCATGGTGTTGTCCCAAGTGAATCTTCACACCCCGTCTCTCCCACTTCCTCATTCGTCACTTCTACGGGTGCTGCTATGTGCCCTCTGTCTTCGAGCTCTTTGCTCTCCTACTTCTAAGGCTCGCTGGGTTCTGGGAGATGGAGGGTCTGGAATGCTTTCTAATGACACCATGTCAGCCATTCAGTTCTGCCTGTTCCTCCTCTCCCATTATTTCCCATCTTTCCCCCTCATCTGCCTCTGAGCTGTGACCTCCTGCAAACCACTGTTGTAAAACTATACAGTCTTCTTCTTCCTCCTCCCTGGGAGGGTCAGGATGGGGAGGCGGTCGCCACCATTCCTCTGCCCAGTCCCTGACACTTGGCCTCAAAAGTTAGATGAGCGCCCCAACCCCATAGTCACCTTTGACTGGACCTAACTGTCCAGGGGTCCTCTACTTTTTAAAAAAACCTTATTCAAGGGTAGGCAGTACAGTTGTACCTTGGTTCTCGAACAGAATGCGTTCCGGGAGTTTGACTCCTGGAACTGTTTGAAAACCAAGGCACGGCTTCCGATTGGCTGCAGGATGCTCCTGCAGCCAATCGGAAGCTGCAGAAGTGCCAGACATTCAGAAAATCATTCGAAAACCAGAACACTCACTTTTGGGTTTTGATCGTTCAGTAGCCGATTTGTTCAGGAGCCAAGGCGTTTGAGATCCAAGGTACAGCACCTTAACACACACACACACACACACACACGTTAAAACTTCATGGTGAGTATTGGCACCTTTTATTCTTAAAAAAAGGCACTTGATGGGACCGAAGGGAATCTGAAACATCTATAGGGTTCTTGGTTGGGAAAGCCTCAGTTAAGTTATTAACAGCCCCGGAGAGGAGAAACCCACAACCTGAAGATGCAAAAAGTTTGTAAATATGACACACATGCCCATAGCATCCCTGGAAAGGCCATTACAGCCCATCAGTCAGGGACTATACTGATGACACCTATATGCTGCTCATACACAGAAGCAGCCAAGGCACTCAAAGAAGGCAATGACAAGATTCCCCCAGCACACAACCCTGCATAGGCAGCGTCCTCCTTGTTGAGATTTCCATTCCACCTTAAGGAGCAGACGTGTGGAACTGTTGCATGTCACATGTCTGTTTACATTCCAGAACAGCTTGCTGGGAACTTCCATTGTGTGTATAGCTTTTGCTTTTAGCTGTTCTCTCTGAGAAGACAGAGAGAGAGGGAGAGACGACATGTTTCTTTGTCCTGATTTATGATTAATAAATCTGTAGTTGTAGTATGCTTTCACAAGCCTCACGCCTATTCTGTGTGCACAGTTCGATCTGCTGATAGTGTGCCCTGGCTTTGAAGCCCGGGTTGCTGATTTATGTTGGAGCAGAGGGTGATGAGTCTTTGCAGTGGGATGGCTGGAAGCAGACGGCCCAGCTGGGGCTAGCCAGCTGGCCTTGCGCCCTTTGCATGTTGACACTCCTGAGCAGCCATGGCACAGAGGAAAGGGAGCTTTCGTTCTTCTCCCATGCTCTTTTCCCAAAGGAATTCATGCTCCCAGGCTTATTAGTTGCAGACAGGAAAAAATACAGCTACCGCTGTTCCTGCCCGGCCTCCTCACTTCATGGCTAAGAGCAGAGTCTGGGTGGATCTGGGAGTGATGTCTATTGGAGAGACGTCATCACAGAGTGACAACCTGAATCCCACCCCTCCTCACCCCTAGCACTGTGGCTCCAATTCAAATAATCTCCCAACCCGCTTATTGCCCAAGAAAAATATCACATTTGTATATCCCATCACAGAACTTTTGTACCATGCCAAATGTAGCCCTAAATCATGCAACATCTTTTTTTAAAAAAAATTCAATTTTCACAATTATCCCAGATTTCTCACGCTGCTGCTAATAAAGCCATAACTAAAAATGACTGGGTTTTTCTTTTTCTGATTTTGTTTATTTACTGTATTTTTCGCTCTATAAGACGCACCAGACCACAAGACGCACCTAGTTTTTGGAGGAGGAAAACAAGAAAAAAAATATTCTGAATCTCAGAAGCCAGAACAGCAAGAGGGATCACTGTGCAGTGAAAGCAGCAATCCCTCTTGCTGTTCTGACTTCTGGGATAGCTGCGCAGCCTGCATTCGCTCCATAAGACGCACACACATTTCCCCTTACTTTTTAGGAGGGAAAAAGCGAGTCTTATAGAACAAAAAATAAGGTACTTACTTGAGTCTGGGTGCTTGGCTTTTGTTTCTTTTTATCGCAAACATGGTGAAAAGAAGAAGGAAACAACGTCTGCTCACGTGAACAACAAGAATAACCCATCAATCCTAATTTAAATGGGCACATTAATCTAAGCAGTCCATCTGTCCAAACAGATAGCCAAACAAGCAGATGATAACAAGATTATATGTTCAAATGCAGAAAGGGGAGTAAGATATTCAGACATTTGAGTAATGGATGGTGAGCATTTTATCTTTCTCTTTTCATTCTGAAGGTCTTGGGACGGAAACCAGAACTTCGTGAGGGTGATGATAACGATGATGAGGCTGCTGATATTACCAACAGGAAAAGTGCCAAACTCTACATGGTATGAGCAGAATTGCCAGCTTGCTGCAGGGCTGTTTCTGAACAGAATCCTGTTTCAACTTTAGAAGTCATGACAATATGTGTTTGTTTGTTTGTTTTTTAATTACTTGAATGCAGATTTGTAGCTGATCTAAATGTGAATGTCCTGCATCCTTAGGTATCAGACGCCAGTGGATCGATGAAGGTTTCGATTGTTGCAGAGGAGAATCCTTTCTTGAGAGCAATGCTTTTGTCTGAAGAGTGCTTTATACTGGATCACGGAGTAGCTAGGAAGATATTTGTGTGGAAAGGTATGTGGCAAATCTCTTTGCTTCTCTTTTAACATTACAATATTATAATTTACTATAATAATCAACAAAGGTTTCTGGGAGTTTCGCTTTCCTTTTGCCACTGTAATTTTTCCTTCTTCTTTTTTTTAACAAGGTAAAAATGCTAATCCAAGTGAGAGAAAAGCAGCCATGAAATCGGCTGAAGAATTCATTCAGCAAATGAATTATCCTGCCAACACTCAGGTATACCTATGCAAGGAACAACCGTACTTTCCGTTTTTCCCCAAGTAAACCCCCACAGGTGACTAAGGTCACTTCCAGATGACCTGTTTGTCTGTTGTTCATCCTAATTTGTTTCCAGGGAGGCTAGATGACGTTGCTTCAATTGATACCTCACACTTTGGGGTGCATTTTCCTGCCACTTTTCTTGTTGCAAAAGGTGTGGTTTTGCAGGGGTAGGTGGGCAGCATTTTTGTTGTGCAAGAGCACCCATTCAAATTGAATTGCGCAACCTGAATTTGCTGGTATGTGGATAAATCACACCAGAAAACAGTGGCAGTCTGAAACTACTCTGAGTATAGTTTATATAAGGCCAGCCACTGGTTTTATTTATTTATTTATTTATTTATTTATTTATTTATTTATATACCACCCTATACCCGGAGGTCTAAGAGTGGTTCACATAAAAGGATCACAGTATATAAAATTAAAATAAAAGCAATAACCCAATAATGTCCCCCAAAAAGAGCTACATTTTAAAAGGGTATGGGATGTTGATCAGGTCAACCAAAGGCCTGGTTAAAAAGGAACACTTTGTATGTAATAAAGGCACCAGGTTCACTTTCCTGGGGAGAGCATTCCACAGACGGGGAGCCACTGCAGAGAAGGCCCGTTCTTGTGTTGCCATCCTCCAGACCTCTCGAGGAGGAGGCACACGAAGAAAGGCCCCAGAAGATGATCTCCGTGTCTGGGTAGACTCATATGGATAGAGGTGGTCCTTGAGGAATTGCAGTCCTAAGCCATTTAAGGCTTTATAGGTCAAAACCAGCACTTTGAATTGGCCCGGAAACTAATCAGTAGCCAGTGCAGTCGGACCAGGGTCGGTGTAATATGCTCAAACCATCTTGCTCCGGTGAGCAACCTGGTATAGAGGGCTAAGGTAGAAATGATGAGGCCAGTCTAGGAACACTCTCACTTAAAAGTTCAAATACACTCCCCCTTCTGATATGGCAGCATGTTAAGGAAATATACCATTGCGAAAAAGTGGCAAAACTGGGGATGGGGAACCTGCAGCTCTCCAGAAGTTGCAGGACTGTCATCGCCCTTAATCACTGGCCATACTTGTGAGCCCTTGCTCCTGTCTGGTATATATCTAGAGATTGGGTTAACTGGCGACTGCTTCTCTTCTCCCATACATTAGCACACAGCAGTACTCTAGGAAAGAAGGAGAGCTGTCAGTTATAGGCTTTCCAACCCTTTACTTCTTGGTTTCAGATTCAGGTTCTTCCAGAAGGAGGTGAAACACCGATCTTCAAGCAGTTCTTTAGAGACTGGAAAGATAAGGATCAAAGCGATGGCTTCGGGAAAGTGTACGTCACAGAGAGAGTGGCGAGGATTGAGCAGGTTGAGTTTGACGCTACCAAGTTGCACGAGTCTCCGCAGATGGCAGCCCAGCACAACATGGTGGACGATGGCTCTGGGAAAGTGGAGGTATTTATTGACGTCTAGCTCCCGGGTTTCTCTTTTAGCTGCTGTTCTGCTTTACGGTCGAAGTTTTGCAGTACAGTCATATGCCTTGGTGCTCGGACATTTTGGCTCCCGAACCCTGCAAACCTGGAAGTGAAAGTTCTAGTTTGCAAACGTTCTTTGGAACCTGAACGTCCGACAGGGCTTCCGCGGCTTCTGATTGGCTGCAGAAGCTTCCTGCAGCCAGTCGGAAGCCACGCTTTGGTTTCCGAACATTTTGGAAGTCGAACGGACTTCCGGAATGGATTCTGTTCAACCTCCAAGGTACGCCTGTACTTTGCACCTATTTTCTCCACTCCCATACAAATATGTCTAGTACATGGTTTTATTGGGGGGGGGGGCTAGATTGTGTATGTGACATACAACTGAGTCTGAGAATTACCTGGAATCCGAACCCTGTAAATGGGGGAAGGGCTCCTCTGAATACAGAATCCTCTGCAGGTGTGGAGAGGTTCTGTTATGACTTCTGCTTTTAGCACTGTTACAAAAGTTGGGTGCCTCCCGCCAATCTTTGCCGAGCAGTAGCAAGAGTCCAGGGTGCTCCAGGCACTCACCCCGGGGTCTGTGCTCCGTTGGAGAATCGAGACACAGAGGAGTATGTCATAGCTTTAAGGAATATGCTTTGTTCACCTGTTTACACCTTCAGTTTGCATGCGGGGGGGGGGGGGAGTCCAGATCCTACAGCATGGTCATTTCAAGACAGGTTTGGACCCCACATCAATAGAGCCCTGGAGCCCAAGGCATCTCTCCCAGCAGACCTGCAGCCAGCCTGCCCAAGATGGATCCCAGTCTCTCTTCTTCCTCCTTCTACACAGCAACCTTTGCCAAAGACTCCCTTTCCCTGTCACCTCACAACTTTCCAAACACCCATTCACACCTCAGGGCAATGGGGAAAGGAAAGTTCTCTCCTATTGCCTGTGGCCTTGTATTGTTTCTTAATGGGCCTTGCTTGGCCAGGTCGTTTTGCATACGCAACCTAGGAATTCCTCTGCAGCTAGTGTTTCTCCTTTCATACCCCAAATAATCAAAATCCTACCATTTATTGATTTCTAGGGGGTACCCAAAATTATAACAGTATTATACTGGAGCCTACTATACTTACATTTAGGGGGATTAATGTAGCTCAGTGGTAGAGTATCTGCTTTGCCTGCAGAAGGTCTCAGGTTCAATCCCTGATAACGATAATTGATTGTGATTCTTAATAGTGATAGAATACATCTCATGGCCTTTTGGACCTACTGTTTACATGGGAATTGATTGCAGTGCATGAAAGCTTCAGCTACAATAAATCAGATTAGTGTTTCTGCTGCAACTAACACAGCTAACCAGCTCTCTTGAATCTGTCACCTTATCAAAATGCTCTGTTTTGAGAATTCTGCAAATGCTCTTCCCCCGTGACATCTTTCATGTCTTAGATTTGGCGCGTCGAAAGCAATGGCAGAATCCCTGTGGAACCTCAGAGCTATGGGCAGTTTTATGGCGGAGATTGCTACATCATACTGTACACCTATCCCAAAGGACAGATAATCTACACATGGTATGTTTAATGGAAGCCATGCTGCTTCTTAGCTTACTGTTGTTTTTATCCTTGATGCGTTGCAAGGAGCCTCTCTGAAAACCAGTATCCCCTTTGGCGGCCGCAAGATGTTTTGGTGCCAGGAGCAAAGGGCAAAAAGATCCCCCCCCATTCTTGACAAAATTAAGGTGCATAAGGCCTTTAAAAATCATATTGTTAGAAAAGCATTATATAATGTTTGGACAAGATACAAAGATCTGTTGGAAAATAAAACCCCTAGATGGTTGTCACCCCTAGAGGCTAAAGCGTTGAAAAAACTTAATATGGAAGCCGAATGGCCAAAGTACTGGGAAATTTTGGAACAAGATGGAGATCAGCTGAAGTTACAGAGTCATGAGAAATTAAAACCTAAAGTACGAGACTGGCTCCATTATTATCAAATAATGGAGGTTTACAAACAAGACAGGAAAATTGGCTTCCAGGTGGAGAAATCAAAGTTAGAAACTGAACTGTTAGAACCCAATACTAAGAATTTGTCAAGAATGTATAATCTGCTGCTGAAATGGGATACACAAGATGAAACAGTTAAATCAGCTATGATTAAGTGGGCACAGGACATTGGACACAATATTATGTTTGCTGACTGGGAATGGTTGTGGAACACCGGTATAAAATTTACGGCATGTAATGCCTTAAAGGAAAATATTATGAAAATGATTTACAGGTGGTACATGACCCCAGTCAAGCTGGCAAAAATTTACCATTTGCCTGATAATAAGTGTTGGAAATGTAAAGAAACTGAAGGTACCTTTTATCACCTTTGGTGGACGTGCCCGAAGATTAAGGCTTTCTGGGAAATGATATATAATGAGATGAAAAAGGTACTTAAATGTACCTTCCCTAAGAAACCAGAGGCCTTTCTCTTGGGCATTGCCTGCCAATTGGTGTCAAAGAAAGATAGGACATTCTTTCTGTATGCCACAACAGCAGCAAGAATTCTTATTGCAAAGTATTGGAAGACACAAGATTTACCCACTCTGGAAGAATGGCAGATGAAGGTGATGGACTATATGACATTGGCCGAAATGACTGGCAGAATCCGTGATCAGGGGAAAGAGACGGCGGAAGAAGAATGGAAGAAATTTAAAATCTATCTTAAGAAATATTATAAAATTGATGAATGTTAAAATGTTGAGGTTCTTCAGAAAGATAAGGAGATTACAGCGATAAAAGATTAAGTTAAAGAAGAGAATAATGAAGGAATATATTCGAGAAGTTTAAAGTTAGGATTTGCTGAAATAATTTTTAAATTTGGGATGCAGAAAGGGGAGGTTTGGGGGAGTCCGAGAAGTAAGGTTTATGAAAAAAAGGTTATGAAATTATACATGTTTGTATGTCTCTTTATTTGTTTGTATTGTGTATAAAAAATTGTAAAATTAATAAAAAAAAAATTAAAAAAAAAGATCCCCCCCCCATTCCATAACTGGAAGCTGATTGGACTGGTAGCTGAAACATCTTCTCTGCCCCCCCCCCCTGGAATCTGCCACCTGAAGGAGCCACCTCACTCTGCCTGATAACATTATGCCTGCATCAGGCCTTTAGAATCGGACTGAGTTGTGCTTTAAATAGCTAAATCTGCAATAGGGACACTCCAGCTTTGGCCTATGGGAAGAGCCCACCTGCCTGAAACTGTGGGGCATAACCCAGTTCTACATTCTAGAGCGAAACCTGAAGGGATTGACCTGAGGAGTTCTTGGATAGATGAGCGATCACCTAATCCATTATCTCTTCAGGTCCCACATACTCCATACTTAATACTGCCCTATCAATAACCTCCCTGAATCTTTTGGATGGGGTCGGCTACTCATTTGGGGGGTAAGCTTTGCAGTTCCGAAGGCAATTGCGGGTTCTCCCAGCTGGTCACCTCTGCCACTCCCCTGTGCTTTGACTCCTATAGTCAGGAGCTTCACCTTTCTAAGGGGACTTGCGTTTTATCTTCGTCTTCTCCATCCACAGGCAAGGAGCTCATGCCACCCTAGATGAGTTGACTACTTCAGCGTTCTTGACAGTTCAGCTCGACCGGTCACTAGACGGGCACGCAGTCCAGGTTAGTGCCTTCCTGATGAACCTGAAAATATTGATGGTGCAAACAGGAGGTCACACAAGCAACTTGAAAGCTACATTCTATTTCTTGCATACAGCGGTTCTCAACCTGTGGGTCCCCAGATGTTGTTGGACTACAACTCCCATCATCCCTGAGCTCTGGCCTTTCTAGCTAGGGGTGATGGGAGTTGTAGTCCAACAACATCTGGGGACCCACAGGTTGAGAGAGGCTGGAAGCCCATGCTCCCTATTGTCCGCCAAATGATTTAAGGGCAACTATCTGTGAGCGGGGAAGACACACAGACACCCTGTACTTGCGGGAGCTCCTGTGCCTTTGGAAACCCTAGAAAAGCAGGGTATAGGAGGCTTCGCCATTGCAGGTTGTGACTTGTGGTCACACGGAGGGAGATTGAGATGCCCACTTCTGTATGTTCCCCCTTCCTTGCATATTTAGTTAAGCCCTATTCAAAAACAGGATCACAATTAAGATTGGGGCGGGAAGAGAAATTCAATTAAAGTCGGACCTAATTTGCACTTTCTGAAACCATATGCGAAGTAAAATACAGTTATCCTTCAATGACACAGTTCTGCAGCCAAGTAATATAAACAAAAATGCATTTGCTAGTGTAAAAGGTTAACATAGTTGCATATATTAGTGAAAAGAACATGTGGAAATGCGTTATATTAACAGAAGCCGCTTTGCAAAAATGTGCATATTAGGCAAAATTGCATACAGAAGGGTGTCAGGAGAAATCCACAGTGCTGATGAGTTTTTTAGGAGGGCTTTTTGGAAAAACAAAATAGCAAACTCATGTGGAGAACTGAGCTTCACACTGGAAAAATGAGAACCTGAGAGAAACCAAAACTGACCTTCCATCCTTAATCACAATACACTCTTGGTGCAACTATATTTTTTGTCACTAGATGGCACTGCAGGCTACATTACAATAAAAGAAGGCTCTTGAAATATTGTTTATCTTTGTAAGTAGTTCTGCACCATGTTTCCCTGGGAGTCTTTGCTGGACCTGCAAATGATTGCCTTCTTCGTTGCACAGGCAATTCGTGGTGTGTGAAGTTGGTTTCATTTGGCCAACTCCTCCATTGATCACACCTGTACATTCCATTGTCGGAACAGCCTCAATTGCAACCACCTGCAAGGAGCGCAGGACAAAAAAATGGCTTCCAAGTCCTGCACAGGTTGTGGGGAGGTGGAAGGAAGAACTTCCTGCAGTCTGCGGAGATCTGAAGAGTTTCTCTTGATCTGAACAATTACCAAGTTGCACTGAGAGGGAATGCTGCACTACAGAATGTGGACTAAATTGTGGAGGGCACATTGTGACTGACATGGATTACTGTCTGCCTTTGTGCAGTCTGAAATGTCTATTGTGGTGGGTTTGGAGATTCCAGTCCCTTCCCCGCTTTTCACCTGTGAGGAAGGTGGGTTCCTGATCTCCTGCCCCTGCTATCCTGTTTAGCCGTTAGGGCAGGTCTGTTCCTTTTGTGAGCAGTCAATCCAAACACAGCCTGCCCACTCCTGCCTAGCATTTATTGTGGCCTTCCCTCCCCTTTTTGTAGTCCTAGGCAAGCCAAACAATGTTCAGGTGCATACATGGACTCTATGGGTGGAGTTGCAGGCTGAAACAACTTTTGTATGTCTGCATTAGGACTTTGATAGACGTGGGTGGCACTGTGGGTTAAACCACAGAGCCTAGGACTTGCTGATCAGAAGGTTGGCGGTTTGAATCCCCGCGACGGGGTGAGCTCCCATTGCTCAGTCCCAGCTCCTGCCCACCTAGCAGTTCGAAAGCACGTCAAAGTGCAAGTAGATAAATAGGTACCGCTCCGGCGGGAAGGTAAACGTTTCCGTGCGTTGCTCTGGTTCGCCAGAAGCAGCTTAGTCATGCTGGCCACATGACCCGGAAGCTGTACACCGGCTCCCTCGGCCAATAAAGCGAGATGAGCACCGCAACCCCAGAGTCGTCCACGACTGGACCTAATGGTCAGGGGTCCCTTTACCCTTTTTAAACCCCCTTGCGAAATGCCAAAGGAAGCTATTGTGCTCTTTGGCGCTTGTGCAAGAGAAGCGCCACATGTTCAGACCACATCCAGAACATGTTTAAAGCATGTTGCTTCCCCACCAACAGTCGTGGAACTGTAGTTTCTTAAGGATACTGAGAAGGCTAGCTGTAAGGGGGGGACTAGTTCCCAGAATTCTGGGGGCAGGGAGCAATATGATTTAAATGTATGGTTGGGTCTGCCCATAGTTTAATGTCCACATGGTCCCTAAGGAAGCAGCTCTTCAACCACCACCCGACCGCAATTCCATCCATCTGTAGTTTGCTTCTCATCTGTTGCCTGTGTCTTTTCCTTCCTGCACTACTATTAACAGCCATGGGGAGCGCCTTTTTCATTCATTCCCTTGTGAGCAGCCTTCCAGAGGCTGCATGCTGGTGGTGGCTGGAGCCAGAGGCAAAAATTGGGTGGTAGCACGGATGTGACTCTTACCTCGGTACAGTAGGCCACATCCCAGATACACAAAGGTCGGAGGTTTCTGCGCACAGTCTCCTTCCTCCATCCCAGAAAAGCAAGAGGTGTTATCATGGTCCCAGCTTGGAAGTACAACCATAAAAACAAGCAGCTTGTTCACCCCTGTCTCCTCTTCTTCTGCTGTTTCCCATGGGTCAAATTTTAGATTGTAGGCTCCTCGGGGCAGGGTTACCTATCCTCTTGTATTTTGGTTAGGTGCTGGGAACATTGATGGCGCTTTATAAATATTAGCAAGTACCAAGTCTTTGACACATGGCAGGTTGGGTGCCTCAGAACAGGCCGTAAGAGATGCTTGCAATTAACTTGCAGCAGGAACAGGGAACCTGCAGCCCTCCACGTTTTGTGGGACTGCAGTTCCCACCATCCCAGACTATTGGCCACGCTTGCTGGGGCTGATGAAAGCTGGAGTCCACCAACCACTTCTGTGCAGCATTGGACTATCTGAAATCTCAGATACCTGAGTGGGAGGATTCATGGTCCATTGATGGATATTAGTATTTCTATTCTCCATGCACTGGAGTGTTGGTGCTGACCTTTAAAGCCCTAAACAGCCTCAGCCCAGTATACCTGAAGGAGCGTCTCCAATCCCATAATTCAGCCTGGACACTGAGGTCCAGCTCCGAGGGTCTTCTGGCGGTTCCCTCACTGCAAGAAGTGAGGTTACAGGGAACCAGGCAGAGGGCCTTCTCGGTAGTGGCTCCCACCCTGTGGAACACCCTCCCATCAGATGTCAAAGAAATAAGCACTTAGCCTACTTTTAGAAGACATCTGAAGGCAGCTTTGTTTAGGGAAGTTTTTAATGTTTAAACCTGTATTGTGTTTTTAATATTTGATTGGGAGCTGCCCAGAGTGGCTGGGGAAACCCAGCCAGATGGGCTGGGTATAAATAATAAATTATTGTTATTAGATAATGCACCCCAAAGATCAACTGATAATGCATTCCAGGGATCAGTTGTAAGAAAGAGCTCTTCTCGCTTCCTTCTTTAACGGCAGCCTTCTTGATAATCGACCTGGTTGGTGCTTTTCCATTCCCAGATGGCTTTATGCTCCTTGCCTGTCTCCCAGCTCCAGGCAGGTACACAAACAGGGCGCTGCTTCCTGCTGCATTTAAATGCAAATCTCAAATCTGAACCAAACACACATGCACACACCAGAATGTTATATGAGGAATATTTAGATTGCAATGGCATGCTGCATTTCTGCTTCCGTGAGAGGCAGGTTTAGAACGCCACGGCTGCACACACACACTGCAGTCACGTAAGCTTGAATTATTCAAGAGAAACGTGCCACTCTTCATTCTTGCCAACTTCCAGCGAAGCATCTGTTGGCCAGGGCAGGCCAGGGCAGCAGGCAGCCTCGTAAAAACCTGTTTCTGTGCTGTTCCCTTCAAACGTCGCTGCAGATCAGAGTCAGCCAAGGAAAGGAGCCCCTGCACTTGTTGAGTTTGTTCAAAGACAAACCGCTCATTGTTTACAAGGATGGGACATCCAAGAAAGGCGGACAGAAGCCTGCTGCTCCAACACGCTTGTTCCAAATCCGCAGGAACCTAGCATCCATCACCAGGATTGTCGAGGTAAGAAATAGGCGTTCGGAAACCTGTTCTCCATGTAGCAAGATGAAATGGACACCAAATTCCAGAGCCGGGGACAAACTAGATGTGATGCTAGCAGACACGTGTGTCTGCATGCAGATATGCCCCAGTCAGGTAGAAAGGTGTGATAAGACCCTAGCAAGCTGTTTTCTATTGAGAGAGGTTCATATAGCTCACTGCTGAATACATTGATTCCGTATGTATGCAATCAAAGCAGCTCTCCCCTCTCGATTTTCAAAGCATGGGGAATCTCCAGATTTGGGGAAGAGATAGGGTGGAGTAGCAATCGTCGGAGGAGAATGCCATATGAGGAGGGAATTAAAACGGGCGTAAGGGGTTCACAATCCACATGAAACCAAGGTATGGATGGGCCAAAGCAGCACCTCTCCAGGGCTTCAGAAAAGAGACATCCTTGGCCCTCTGGAGCAGATTCAGGGAGTCCTGTTGTGCTACTGGGCATCCTTGCAATGTCTTCTATTTGTGCAACCATTCAGCTCAAAGGCCCCGTATACTGATTTCAGGTCCCACATATGAATGTTTGCTGACTAGGTTGTATCATTGCCGCACTAAAACTGGATTATATTGAAGCTCGTATGCATTTTTCAGTGTTATCCAGATCCAACTTTTATGAGTCAATTGAAAGTCCTGCCAAAAGCACTTTCCTAAAAAGTTGTTGTTGTTTATTTTGCTGGGTGGGAATGGAGATGTGTGTACAGCAAAACCTTCCTTTCACTGCTAGTTTATTTTTAACATTATAATTAGGACTCCCTCTTTGTGTTGGCCTTTTAAGAGCTTGCATCTTGAGTGGCACCTGTGAAGTCAGGGGGATTGTTCTGGGCTTAAATTAATGTTGCAAACTGCAAAAATGGGAAAGAAGTAAAAAAGAAGAAGCAGGAGACTGATGCAATCTCACTCCTGTCTCAGGTTGATGCAGATGCCACTTCGTTGAATTCCAATGATGTTTTCGTTTTGAAACTGCCAAGTAATGCTGGGTATACCTGGATTGGGAAAGGAGCAAGCAGAGAAGAAGAGAAGGGGGCGCAGTATGTAGCTGGTGTCCTCAAGTGCCAAACCTCAAGGATTGAAGAAGGCCAGGAACTAGGTGAGCACAACTCTACAATTCTAGCATTCTATTATTCGATGCAGGAAATGTCCACAGTCCTTGACATTCGAGAAAATGGCTTCCTAATATTACTGGCCGTACCAGTGGTGTAGCATGGGTTGCCAGTGCCCAGGGCCATATGGAGAAGGAGGTGGGTGGGAGGGAAACGGACAGAGTATGCATGCACTTTCAACTGCTTAACAACGTCCGCATCATCCAGGAGATCACAGCTGCAAATATAAGAAGAGTTGTTCTGTTGTCTGGAGAGGTCACTTCCTGGTTTCCATGGAGGAGCCGAGTGATGGAAGCACACAGCTGTATTTAGGCAGCGCCCAGTGTTGAAATTTTACACCCCTAACAATCTTGTTTCCTCAACACTTGTTCACAGGGCATTTCACCAAGGAAGTGTTTTTGTTGTATCTTCCAGAGCCATTTTGGAGTGCCCTTGGTGGAAAGAAAGAATACCAGACATCTGCACAGTTACTGACTGAGTCCGAAGACCACCCTCCACGTCTTTATGGCTGTTCTAATAAGACCGGCAGGTTTATAGTAAGTATATGGCAGATAGTTTCTGTTCTGTCCCTTGATTACTATGGTCATTCCGTCTCTGGCTCTTAAATGAGATTACTCACATCCTTTGCAGGGCAAGGAAGAACATCATTTGCAGAGCATAGAGCAATTTTATCGTAACTTGGAGGTCTCAGACGTAGGCTGCCTTATAGTTGATCATATTTTGGAGGAATGCTGCCCCACCCACTGACAATCCTGCCATTCTGTCTTTTATTTTTTCCCTTTTCATTTCCTTCTGGCCAGTGTTTTTCTCCTTGTCCACTGAGCCACCTAGCAGTATATATATATTTATTTGTAATATACTGTGGCTCAAAAGCTTTGTCAAAGAGAGCCAAGAGCCAAAAAAACCTCCAGGTATATAGCTGCACTATGTTTGGAGTTCGATACATTCCTTTTGCCTTGAGAAATGTAATAGGTGTGAAAACAGAAGGGTCCTTTAAGAATTCTGAGTATTCAAGCCCAGAATAAGCAAAGAAGATATTGATTAACTGAGTCAACACTGGTGGATAAAAATGTAGGTCACACAAAGGATCTTCATGAGGCATGGATTAAAACATTTTTTCCAAGGAAAGCTTTGTTGAATCTCTCCCTTTCTCTCTTTCCATACATACAAACATACATATACACAGTGCTTTTTTCTGCGGGGACACAGGGGTATGCATACCCCTAAACATTTTGTGAATCTTTGTACTTTTGTCCATTTACTGTATTTATTTTCCCCGATTTGAACTATAAAATGGTGATTTTCTTGTGTCAAAATGAGAGTACCCCTAAACATTTTTTAGAAAAAAAGTGCTGCATATACATACATATAATTTTAAAAAAACTAGAAGAAACATTTTCCAGGACTACTTTTCATAATACAAACATTGATAACCAATGATATTAATTAAATAAAAATAAGACAGAGAGATTCTTATCCGTTTATTGCTTCACCTAAATATCTAATAAATCATGGCTCCTCGTGTCCATCAAGTGTATCTGGACTCTGAAGGAAAGAAGCAACTGACTTATAGGCTCTATATACATGCATACTAAGCTGGTACTCCATTGAGATCTTCCAATTTTACTATATAAAGTCAGAACAAAACACAGGAAGCTTTGAGGAAGAACATATTAATGGAACAAAGCTTGGCTTGATTATGAAAACACGTACTTTCTGCAGTGTAAGAGGGCTTACAATTTGTTTCAAAGTTGTATGGGAAGGACTGAAATGTCCAGTTTTATTTTATCGTTTAGCAGCTGTCTAGTTGCTCTGTGTACAAAGGGAGAGGGAGATGAACTTTTTAGTAGTCACTATCCTATTTTCTCTTATTTGGTAGCTTTATATTGTATTGAATGGTGGTGGCTTACTCATTAGTCAAGTAACGGGTGCAATGCAAATTCCCACACACATCTGCCCTAATTTTCTAAAACGCAATGTTCTGTACCAAAAAAGCGTTTCTCTTAAAAAAAATAATCTGCTAATTGGTTTTAAAAAATAAAGTAATGTCACCGGGTGTCTAGTTAATTTAACAGATTTACTGCATTTTATTCTTTATTTAAATCCTTTCTAAACCTGGTTCCTCAGTGCAAGCACAATATGTCCATTGCTTATTAAAAATAAATCATCAGCAGCCTCAAATTCACTGCCTGGGTAAGTTTCCAGGCAGCTAAATAACAAGCGCTGCCATAGGTGTAATGCCACCTGGAACATCTCTGTCTTATGGCTAGTCCTAGATACCATAAATTTAGGCTTGTGCGATTAAAGTAGATTAAAGCATTTTGTTGCCTTTGTGCAACAGATCCATTTTTTTAAAGGAGTGAAGACTTTCTGAGGTTTTGAACGTGATGGGGGAATGCACTGGAAAATGTGGGATGAACAAATTATTAATGGAAAGCCATATGAACACCCCACCAGCAAATTAGGATGAGTGCTCACTGCCGTATAACCACTGTATAATCAGAGTGAATGCTCAAGTAAAGACCAGATACAGTGGTACCTCGGGTTACATATGCTTCAGGTTACATACTCCGCTAACCCAGAAATAGTGCTTCAGTTTAAGAACTTTGCTTCAGGATAAGAACAGAAATCGTGCTCCGGTGGCGCGGCAGCAGCAGGAGGCCCCATTAGCTAAAGTGGTGCTTCAGGTTAAGAACAGTTTCAGGTTAAGAACGGACCTCCGGAACGAATTAAGTACTTAACCTGAGGTACCACTGTATAATCTTACTCTTGACACTTTGGCCTCCCCTCTTGCTGCAGCTGGTCCCGAACGCCTGACTGCATTATCTTGACTGTGACTCAGTCTCTAACTGTTCTCCTGGCTGTGATTTCTCCCTTTCAACCTCCCGCAGTCCAACCTATACTGTCCATTGCTTGCGATTTTGACCCCCAACCTTCACCAGATCTTAAATAGCTTCTGCCACTTCCAGCATAAGATGGACTCTACCTCAACATCCACTCATAAATCAGAGAACATTGTAGATTAGTCTGTGCTATTTTGTATACAGGAACGTATGTCGTCAAGTGTTGTTGTTGTTGTTTAAAAACATAGATTGAGGAGGTTCCTGGAGAATTCACTCAGGAGGACTTGGCTGAAGATGACGTCATGCTGCTAGATACTTGGGATCAGGTAAGGCACATGTTATTAACGGAGCTGTGTGGGACGAAAGAGACATACAATCTGGTTTACACCTATAGCAGCATTAAGTGGAAGGACATGTAAGATGAAGAATGGACTGCACCACTTCAGGTTGCAGGTGGAGTAATCACCTCTTCAAATCCTGATCCCATTAAAGATACATGCAAATAGAAAACTGGCACAGCAGGCTGGTTTGTAATGCTAGCTTTTTATGTGCAGGGAGCTGTGGCAACCCCTATTTCTAGTCTGAAATGGTATAGCCTATCCCAGGCTCATTCTGTAGCCATGGGGTAGGCAACCTAAGGCCCGTGGGCTGGATGCGGCCAAAATTGCCTTCTCAATCCAGCCTGCGGATGGTCCAGGAATCAGCGTGTTTTTACATGAGTAGAATGTGTGCTTTTATTTAAAATGAATCTCTGGGTTATTTGTGGGGCATAGGAATTTGTTCATTCCCCCCCCCCCATATAGTCTGGCCCACCACATGGTCTGAGGGACGGTGGACCGGCCCACGGCTGAAAAAGGTTGCTGACCCCGGTCTAACTGAATTGTTGTGTAAAGCAGTTCAAAGAATGATAAAAGAAAATCTTGGGATGTGATGTGAAGGAAATGAACGGCACACAGAACTCCAAAGAAGTGAAGTTAAAGGAGGAGACATGGGGGGAGGGAGAGACCTCTATTTTAAAACAAGCAGTTGTAAAAGATGTTTATTTGAATGTATTTGAGAAATAACTATATTTGCCAAAAGAATGTCCTAGATGTTTGGCTTTCTTGGGGCCCATTTCAACATGACATTTGGCATCTCTGGCTTGGCTATTGAGCAATTCCCTTGAAAACATGTTTAAATGAGTCATTCACACCACTTTCTCAGAGATGACCTGGAGAACTTAGCATATGCTCTGCCAAAAGTAAAAAGCTGACTATTTATATATATGTATCTGAGAATCCACCCAAACCAGAAAACAAGTCAGTTGAACATAAGACATATCTTTAATTAAGGAACATGATATTCAGCACAAATGGTCTTCATATACAATTTTTTTTATAGTAACTGACTGTCTTCCGTTTCATAACAGCTATCCCAACTCTCCTAAATATGTAATTTAATATCTCTCTCATCTCATTTCCTCCTCTCTGTCCCTCACAACCACACTCTCCAACTCTCATTTCTCAGCTGGCACACGCTAGCAGTCAGTCCCAACTCCATTCCCTCCCTTACTGTCAATCATTCTTCCGCTTGTTCTTCTGTCACAGTTTATTTAGCTGCCCATCAATAAATATTCCCTGGGCAGCGTGCAAGCAAAATAATGCTAAAAATTGCAATGTATCATAATTAAAACCAGCAAAAAATGCTGAAAAGATAACAGAAAACTGCCATTACCCAGAGGAAGTATAAAACAGCTTGAATTCAAAACACAATTAAAAGATCTGGGTGAATAAAAAGGTCTTTGCCTGGTGTTCAAAAGACCATAGAGATGGTGCCAGACAAGCTTCTCTGGGAAAGGTATTCCCTAGCCAGGGTTCTAATAGCAACCCCCCCCCCCAAAAAAACCTCTCACTTTCCTAGACACCCACCTCCCTTCACTTGGCAAGGTCACCCACAGTGCATGCAGCCTCTTAGGAGTATCTTAAGGGTTGGGGCATGAATATCCGAAGGAATTTTTCTGGGAAGAGGGACAAGTAAACACTCCAAACCAACCAACAAATATGCATCCATAACTGAAAGGTGGGAGCAGGCAAGCTCCTTGCTAAATAAATGAGAAGAGTGCCTGAACATTTTGTCATTGTATCTCGTGCTCTACAAATACTAAAAACTTGCTCTTTAAAAATAAATAAAAGAAAACTGGGAATCGGGGGGTTGTGCTTCATCTGGGGGGAGGGAGCCAACAGTCTCTCCACACCCCCCCATGGTTTGGGGAAGCATATGCAGGAGGGGGCAATTTTCCAGGCTATTTCTTACATTTACATCCCACCTTTCCTCCAAGGAGCTCAATGTGCACAAAAGCAATGGACAAAACTGGGGGGATATAAAGGTCTTTGCCTTGCATCAAAATGACATCAAAGTAGGCATCAGGCAAGCCACACTGGGAAGCGCATGCCACAGTTGGAGTGTCACCACCAAGCAGGCCCTGTCCCATGAAGCCACCTGCCACATCTCTGATGATGTGGACACCGAAAGAAGAACCTTTGTTGTCCTAAGGGGTGCAAATGGCTTGAAGGAGAGGAGGACAGATTAATGTCGGACTTCTACAACCTTTTGCCATCTAGATGTTTTGTGCTGCAACTCCTATCATCCCTGATCACTGCCATGCTGGGTGGGCTGAGTCCAAAACATTTAGAGGGCACCAGATTGGGGAAGACTGGGAAAAGTTGATGGCCAATAGAGAAATGAGGTGCAAAAAAGACTACATGCAGCCTGAAATTTTTTTTCAAGGCCATGGGACTGCAAACCCACAGAGGTGGGCAAATCATGGAGCTGAATTTTAAATATTGACTAGAAATCATCCCTGTCTTTGAATGCTGGTCATTAGTATTTTATGTACAGGTCAAACTGTGGCAAAACCTCAAATTTATACCACTTTGTTGAAGCAGTCTCTCTCTTCATCACATCCTAGATATTTCTCTGGATTGGTAAGGATGCAAATGAAACAGAACGCACTGAATCAGTTAAATCAGGTAAGCTATGATTAAAATTGATGCAGTCTTTTTTTAGATGAATGAAAGGGGAATGTTTGAAGAGCTTCTCCCAAGTTATTTATACTAATCAGACAAGGTAGTCAGAGGTAACCCCAGTAGAGGCGGGACTATTTGGGCGGATGGGGTATTGCCCCACCAACCCCTCAGTCAGCCCTCAGCTTGCCCCCTACTTTCTGCCAATCCAGATCCCAGACAGGTGCATTGATGGGGCTCTTGGGAGAGGCAAAAGCCATTTTCCCAGGGTGGCACTGGCTGTCAGTCTCCTCCTCACTCTGTGTTGCCCATGAAGAAATCCTCAGGCTCCCGCCTCCATGTTCTGTTGGCCTCATGAAGTTCTGCCCTACCAGCCCCACTGGGTGCCAGCCACCACTGCTGACCCAGAATACTTTGGGCCTGTTCCCACATTACCTTTAGGGCATAGTGATAGCCTCTGTCCATGTAGGACATCTTCATTTGTGTATGAGTTATCACGCTGCTACTTTTCTTGTTGACCTGCCAGTGAAAAAACCTGGAGAATTGTAGGTTTAGCTGGTGTGTGTTTGTGATTGCCCTGCATTTGTGAACGTGCCTTATTTTCCCCCCTAATGTATCATTTGATGGACCTCTTCATATGACCTCTGCATGATAGTCACTTAAAACTGTATCCTTGTACATCAGAAAGGGCAACATTTTAAATCCACAAAATTCATCAAAGCAGTTATGAAACAGAAATTCCCTCCAAACTCTCCCTTTTCCTCTGTCTCATTTAAATAAGCATTATTTACTTTGATAAGGAATATTTGGGGACGCTGTGGTGAGAAAAGCCAAATTTGATCTTAACATCTCAGGTTACTAAGCTGAGATAAGAATTTCCATGCATGCATCCTCTTCGCAAAAGAGAACAGGACAAAGTCTTCAATTAACTGTAGTTTTCCATTTCATTTGAACCAGGAAACTATGGTTATTGGCTTTATAACAAGCCAGGTTGCGAACCCATGGTTCAGAGTTGTCTTAATATCTTTGCTTGTTCCAAAGACATTAATCACAATTAACCATGTTTGGACAAAACTGGGAAACTATAGTTTACTGAACAGTTTCTGGTTTGTTTTTTTGTTTCTTCCACAAAAAGGAAGAGCAAAGAAGCTGCACGCACATCCAGAAACCTCAATTTGTATCTCGGCTTATTAAGATCCATGTCCTGTGTGCATTTGATTGCCCAAAGGAGCCCAATGGGTGCCCTAGATGGTCTATGTTGAGGGAGGGGATCATTAAGACAATGCAATGTGTATCTCACATGAGACAGACTGTAGCCCCCAATAGTCCTTGCAGTATAAAAGCTCACACATTCCCCATTTGTTTTAATAATAGGCATTTTGCTGATTATTAAAATGCCTGCAGGACTCAGATCTTTTGTATGGACAGGATCTGCTTTGCATTTTTAAAATGTGTACCTATTAAATTTCCAGATGGCTCTGTAGCAAAGCTCTTAGTGGTTTACAAACAAGATTACAATAAGACAAACAATGAAATCAAAGCTAACAACACAAACCCAAATAACATTATCCAGCTCAAAATGAAATCAATAAACTCATTCATTTGGAAAAGTTGCGGAAGTTTATTTGAAAGATAAGAGAACGCTGATGTGGGAGTTGAAGAGCAGGAAGCCTTCACAGATGCTTCTACATTTTGAAAAATGTCTGAATGAACCCTACAATTCAAGGGATGGAGTGATCCTTCAGCATCTAATCAATGGAGCTTGCAACAGTGTTTTAGATAGTACTATAAGTCAATTTGGGATGCGGGTGGCACTGTGGGTTAAACCACAGAGCCTAGGACTTGCCAATCAGAAGGTCGGCGGTTTGAATCTCCGTGACAGGGTGAGCTCCCGTTGTTTGGTCCCTGCTCCTGCCAATCTAGCAGGTCGAAAGCAGGTCAAAGTGCAAGTCGAAGGTAAACGGCGTTTCCGTGCGCTGCTCTGGTTTGCCAGAAGCGGCTTAGTCATGCTGGCCACATGACCCGGAAGCTGTATGCCGGCTCCCTCGGCCAATAAAGCGAGATTAGCGTCGCAACCCCAGAGTCGTCCACGACTGGACCTAATGGTCAGGGGTCCCTTTACCTTATAAGTCAATTGCAGTACAATCCTATGCATGTTTACTTGGAAGTAAGTCCCAATTAATTTAATTGGATTTCTTCCCGGTAACTATGCATAGGATTGTGGTGTCAGAAACAGAATAATGGCCAAGATTTACAGTGCGGACTGGCTTACATATCCATATGAGAAGATTCAGTGATCGCAGTTTGGTCTAGAACTGTGGTTCCCCACAGGGGGGCAATTTGATTTTTAAGGGGGGGAATTCGAGAATGAGTTATTAGGCTTCCTCCACGTGAATAGGAGTTCACTTTTTGAATAATAAGAATTATATGGCACGGGAGGGGTCATCAGGATTTTAGAGATGCTTAGGTGGGGCATGGCCCAAAAAAGGTTGGGAACCACTGGTCTAGAACCTAGAAGTGAAGGAAGCAGTGCCAGGAAAATGGCTACCCTGGCATAGACTTACCACTTGCACTGATTTTTCAATTCCTCTGGTCTATCACACAGGCTACAGATCAGGGCAGGGGCAGGCTAGATGTGGTTTTCAGCGACTGTGCACTGAACCAACATATTGGAGCCAGGGTAGGATGAGGGGCAGGAAAAACTATATGGACATATCTTTCCACCGAGGGCAAGGCCACTCCACACACACACATGTGAAAAGAGGTGCACAGAGAACAGCCTGTCTGTTGCTGTGAGCAAAGAAGAGAGTTTAGGATTGCGGGTGGTGATCTGTGTTTGAGCTGTAATGTTCAGGTTACTTCCCTCCTCATTGATAAATTAATGGATTACTATCTTGCATATTCATGTGTTTCAGCCAAACGCTACATTGAGACCGATCCTTCTGGGCGAGATAAAGGGACTCCACTTGTTATTGTGAAGCAAGGTTACGAACCCCCCACATTCACAGGCTGGTTCTTGGGCTGGGATTACAACAAATGGAAAAACTGAAGCTTCAACTGCAGAAGAGATATCCCAGGACAGCCATTCTCTGGCAGCTTTAAGCATGTGTTTGCAAATCACTGTATATGTTGCTGCTGTTGTGGTACATGTGTCAGTTGTGTGTGTTTGTGTGTACAGCACAGAGGTTGCCAATATTTTTGTAAACTGGAAAACTGCTGTGGGCACCACACACATGAGAGTGAAGGACCTGACAGCTTTGGTTCTCTCAGTTTCTTGTTTTTGAATTCTGTTCTCCACATTTCTGCAGCAACTTGCAATTTTTTAAAAAAAGATCCTCATGAAAATTCTTAAGTGTTTTCTTAAGAATTTATCACAATAAACACATTTTCGTATGCAGTTTTGACCAATGTATACATTTTTGCAAGCATTTTCTTCTAATATAATGCGTTTTTGCATGCTATTTTCACTAATAATGTTAAATTTTATGCTAATTTCTCCCCAATATATGCATTTTTGTAAACATTTGTTGGGGAACCACATCACAACATTTGGATACGTGCATGGCTGTGTTTTGGTTCTCATATTGTTTTGGAGAGTGCAAATTTGACCAATTGAGCTTTAAATGTAAACTGAATACAATTTCTCTCCCATCCCTACTACACACACACAGCTCAACCTATTATTTTGGCTGGCTACTATACAATGCTTCTTTCAAGCCTAATTTCTGTGAGAAGTGAGGTGGGGAGGAATGGGGCCCTATGAGCACCAGGAAAAGCCTGCGCAGATATCTGCAGGTGCCACATCGGTGACCCTCGGTATAAAAATATGCACACATTCTCTAAACATGTTCCCGGATGCAACTGGAAATGCCCCTTCTCCAGTTCCAAGTGTGTGCATAACTCCCCAAAATCCAAGACTTAATTAAGTTTTGAAATTTGTAATTGAGTGCGGGTCTCCGTTAGGAATAGCGATGGGTGAGTTACACTCAGCTCAGACCTAGCTTGGTAATCATGACTTCTCAGTGAGCATTCAGAAGCTCGCCTGATTTCTCAGAGCTCTCGCCTAGCTCATAATGTTGGTGCGGTCTTTTTAGATTGCTTCCGCTTTAGTTATTGTTGACACTGTATTTTTCAGTGAGTTTTCATTGTCCCCTCAAAATGTCTCCTATTTTTAGTTCAAGTACTGGATGCTAATTCTGCATTCTCTCTCAAAAGTTTAAGGCTCCATGGGACTGTAATAGTTATATTTTTTTTACAGTCCCTGTACTTCCTGACATAGGAGCCAACTCCTAGGGGCTGAGGTCACTCCACCCTCCCAATAAAATATTTGAGGGGACTGCCCCACCCAAGTTGATGGGCGTTGCCATTCAAGGGAGCTATATCATCCCTGAACTTGTTTGACCAATTCCCTGAATCCCAGTGAGCCAAAGCTTAAGCACAGTGTGTTTGTAGAGTCTCTATATCTTAGCCCGTGTAACTGGTAAGAGCCACAGCCTAGAGGGAAATACTCAAGCCATTTCCAGCTGTGCTCCTTTGCTGAAAACTCTATTTGTTCCTCTTTCTGTGCCAAAACTGTGATCTAAACACATTTCAGCAAAGCTTGGTTTCTCGCCATGCTACTGTTTTGGTTTTACCACTCTTTTCACGTGATTGCAGGATTGTGTGGAGGTTTGTGGCCTGCCAAAAAACCCCACACATTGGGACCACCTCTTCCTCTACCACCTCTCCAGACCAATCTGCATAATCCAGACCATGGCATGTTATATGAGTAGAGGCAAAAAGTGAGCAAGATGCCTGCAGAACTGGAAATGAACGTAGGAATAAAATGTATGTCAAATAATTCTCATGAAGTACCTGTAAAGAATGGATGAGCAAATGAATGCCACACCATAGAGTGTGAATGAAGATCACAGTGGATTCGCATTGCTGTTTGGAGGAATGTGTGGCTCCTGATCTAGCAAGAAACCCGCATGTAGAGGCCAGCTTCTTCATAAAGCGCTCCTTTTCTGGACCTGAGCATCTATGTGCTAAGTCATATTTTGATACATTGCTATTTTTTAAAGTATATATTTCAAAGAAGCAAATACATTACAAAAAAGTGACTGCCGTGATGACTATAAATTTTCTAAATTATGCACTTTTACAAAAAAATTAAACACATTTATAGATGTATGAATCCAATAAATAAATGCTTTCCAATCCTGAACAATCTAACTACATTGTTGTATTCCTTCTTTTATCATAATGTAACTAATTTTGACATGATGTTATATACATAGAGTTTATTTTCCCACTAACTGAAGAAATTATCTTTTATTTAGCTTTCTGAGGTAGATGTAAATATTTCTTTATATTTCTTTCTTACATTTTTATCCCACCTTTCTCTAAAGAGTATTGTACGTGGTCCCTCCCATCAAGAGCCCTGTGGAGTTGCTTTGGCAAAGGCGGTGTGCCTGCTCCAAGGTCACTCAGTGAGCTACCCAACTGGGGCTAATCTAACATTCTTAACCCCTTTGTTCCACTAGCAGGATAATTAATGTGCATCTTCAAAAATACTACTCTGAGATTAGTATTGGTTTAGTAATGCAGTGCATATTGCACACCATGACTCTTCATGCTTTACTAAACTTCAAAAGAGATGTAGCTGCCTTCAGCAAAGGGATAATTCTGTCTAGAAAGAGATTTTGAGTTGGAAGGCACCGTAGAGGCCATCCAGTCCAAGGATGGATCTATACCAGACTTCCTCAACCTCGGCCCTCCAGATGTTTTGAGACTACAATTCCCAGCATCCCTGACCACTGGTCCTGCTAGCTAGGGATCATGGGAGTTGTAGGCTATAAAACATCTGGAGGGCCGAGGTTGAGGAAGCCTGATTTATACTGATCTGTAAAAACACCATTGAAGGCTATTTTTAAAAAGTTACATAGCTTTTCCCCATTGCCAACAGATTGTTGCTCTGCAGCGCCCTCTGGTGTCACATTTTTATAACACATTTTAAGTGTTATAACCAACCAGTGTAGATTCACCCCAACTCACTACACTTAGCCATTCCTCCTGGAAGGGTAAAGACTCCACTTTTATGGCCTATGCTTAGTACTCATGGGAGTGATTGGCCATTTAATGGCTGATTATCTTTGACTGCCCCTCACCCCATTACAACCTCCTGTCTGACTGAAATACCACAAGATTCAAATGCTAAAGAATATATGGCATGGTTTACTTATATAATGCTTTTTTAACTCAAGGCTCCCAAAGCAGTGAACAACAATATATATTAATGCAAATAAAATATATAATAAAAGTACAATGTATCAATAGATCAAAATAAAATAAAATAGCATCAGGACTTGGCCATGAATATAGATCCTACAATAAGATTTGATTATCACTAGGTGCAGTGCACTGGAGATTGCGGAATTCTGTTCTTTGTGAGAGTGAACAAGTCATCAGAACCACCTTCTTGGCATTTCTTACACACCATGTTAGTCAAAACCCCTCAAAACACTGGCCATCATAGCTCATGTTCATAGGGGTTTCAGCTGCTTCATAGTTGTTAGGTCTATTACTTTTTTTGGCTCCAGATATGCAGAACAGAAAGATTTGTACAGCTGCATCCCATTTTCTCACAAGAGATTTGCACAGCTTGTAAGGGGTCACCTTATGGAAAACAACAAAGTTTATTACTATTTGCGTGAACACAACAATGAAAGGCCTGATTAGCAATTTCCTTTTATAATGCAATCAACAAAAGACAAATGAAACGCAATGCTATATTTTCCACCACCAGTAAGCAACTTAAATTGTTCTCTGTGTTGTCTGATTCTGACATTAACCCAATAGTGAAAACTCTGAACATCAATTCCTTCTACTGGCATTATCTGTACAGTGTGTGTTAACATACTTCTGTATCATTAAATTGTACATCAAGAGTGTCTATCATGAAAACAACATGATTGTTAATCAAGTTGATGCATGCAATCTACTTTTAAAACATATTTTAGAATGGGCATGTTAGTGGCACTCCCTTGAACTTAAAAAATGTGACTCATACAGAGGTGATGATCTCAAACTGGTTTGTTGAAATAATTGCAGTCACTCCAGAAACGTGTGTGCAGCAGAACACCATGTGCATGGGCATATATTTGTACAGAGGGAGTCGAATGAAGAGCTGCATTTCTTTCATATATGCCTGTGATGGTTGTACTGGCACCCATCCTATTATATGCCCAATATAGTATCTGGAATATGGTTTTTGCAGATGGAATATGGAATGTGGTTTCTGCAAGTAACACTTGGATCATTTTTTGGTTTTGCATTTAATGCATCTGCTATTTGAATGTAAGATGTATATGCGTTAGAATGAATGTTTCATTTTAAAAATGGGCTTTCCTTCCTCACATCTCCATAATTTACAAGGGATGCATTCCAGAGTAAAATAAGGTATAATATTGCAATCCTATATAATGTCTATGGCAGATCCCTTCCTTGATCCAGACCAGGATTCCAGAATGCTCTGTCCTAAGCATAGACTAGTCCACCCCAGGACACAGAGAATTCTGGAAGGAAGAGCGTCCATCTGTAATTGTAAGGAAAGTATTCTAAAACAAACATCTTCATTTAAAACCATAGTCTCGGTCCATGTTCTCATTTCTAATATAGCCTCAGGCCTCTGAACTCAACAACACTAACCTGGAAATATGCTTATTTGAACTGAATGGGACTTCATTCTGGATAGGATAGCACTCCTTGTTTCACTAGTATGGATTGTGGAAGGAGGTTAGAAATAACATCAGATCCATTAACCTAGGGGCAATATCTACTTTAAAGCAGCAAGATGTAATGTTCTTCTGTCTGCCTTATGGCTAGGTTAGACGGATAACCACCAAAACACAGCGTTCGTTCAGACTCAGCTGTCTTGAAGGAAAATGTCAACCAGGAATTAATATTTCATTGCCAAGAATGGCTGGATACCAGATTCCATGTGATTTATTTATTAGGTATGAATCACCTTACATGAATCATCTCAAGGTGATGGATAATATAAAAATAGCACATCTCCAATACAAAACACATGGGATTCAAAATTAAAAACACTGGTGTATTCATAAAGAAAACCTTCACAAGAACCCCCATTCCATTGTCATGAACACCACATAATTGACCTGTAAAACTAATTCCACCCTAAGAAGCAAGAATCAGCAGGATGCCTGGCAATACAGTTTTTGCCTGACACTGAAATAATGTCAGAGCTGGCACCAAGAAAACTTCCTGACAGACAGCATCTTCCTGCCTATGCACATGCACCTCCTTGTAAATTAGCAGAGATAATTGTAACATATTTTTTCCTAAGGATTCTACTTTGCAATTTAAAAACTGGAACTTGGCATGAGAAAACCCAGTCAGCATTTTCACTTTGCTGTCTGACATCATTTGGATTTCCTCCTCATAAACTACAAAAATAGCAGTATCAGGTTTAATGTCTTTCAGTGGACTGAAAACATTGATACAGTTTTCAGGCAGGTGGCAGGAAAGGACTACTGCTAATGTTTGTTGCTCTGATGAGGCCTTTCCACCCCTCTCTGTTTTCTTGCTCTAATCCTAGATGAGAGGCTCCCAGTTTCAGGAACAAAACTTGACTGTATAATGACTGGACAATCCCTAGCAGAACAAGCCATTAATCATCTGCAAAATAGCAGTGCCTATAACTCCACAAGCAGCCTGTAATGAGCCGCAGCAATAATAATTCTCATCGCTGCTTTCGTGAAAGTTTGATGTATTTCTTGGATATGGGGACTCAACAAAGCGAGAGAAAATATGGCCAAGCAAGACACAAGAGAATAAGAAGACCAATAAGTTTGCTTCAATGGATGAATGGGAAGCAATGGTAAAGATCCAAATAGGAGATGCTCCCCGCAGCCTTCATTCATGCACAGTAAGACCAGTGCATACTAGGTGCGGAGTTTGCCACTAAATGAAGCACTTCTCTGAATTCGCATACTTACAATGTATACATGCGACCATCATTGCTACCACCTTCTGAGTAAAGGAGATTTGTTTAGACGGTTGTTTGGCAGTAGGCTTGTTTCCTGTTTCCTCATTTAGTACAAAAAATGTATTCTTAAATAAGGAGCTGGTGACAAACCTGCTTGGTGATATGCTGTGATTACCTGCAGAATTACCATAGTTTGAATCCAGAGTCTTTGTACTGATGATGAAGAGGAGTTTTAGGTGTGTCCGATAGGTGCACAACTGTCATGCACACATCATGCCAAACCCAGAAGTGACCCAAAAATGGAAAAAAACAGAAGCCTTTTCGTTAGGTATTTCAGGTCAAAAATTGCAGAAAGAAAAATGGAAAAAATTTTATGTATGCTACAACAGTGACAAGAATTCTATTAGTTCAAGGTTGGAAGACTGGAGAAGTACTAACGAAAGAACAATGGCAAGAAAAACTGATGAACTATGCAGAATTAGCAAAATTAACGGACAAATTACATGAAAATGACAATAGTGACTTTAAAAAAGAATGGGAATCTTTTACAACTTATCTACAGAAACAACAAAAAGAGATGGACTCATTGGCAGGTTTTGAATAAACACTCACAATTTTATTTAAGTAAAATATGGAGAAAAACAATGCAATAACATTTTATGTATATTAACATGCAGATGGTAACAAAAAAAGTAACAAACCAAGGAGGGGAAGATGATGGAAGTCAATGGGGGGGAATTGAAAAATGTAAAATTGGATAATTGTTTTTCCAAACTGTTACAAAAAAATTAATAAAATATTTAAAAGAAAAAGAAGTGACCCAAAAATGTCACAAAAACTCCATGAAAAGGAGCAGAATGGGGTGTTTGCAGGCTTTCTCAACGGTGTTTCAAATATACGTACACAATTTCACTTAAACGCGTGGTGCTTGGAATGTAACCCCCATGTAATTTGGGAGTCGCCTGTATTGTTAATTTCATCAGCTCTCTTATAGGTGTATTGGTACGCTGTTGTTGCACGTGAGACTGAGTGAGAATAGGTAAGTGGCTGTTGTTATTGCTTTCATTTATCAGTTGCTTTTTACAGTAAAAAAAGCCTCAAAGCAATTTGACAAGAATAAAACAACTTAAAATCACTAACAATACAAAATGTTCACTATTATGTAAATGAACAGTTCCTCATCCCACCTTCTCTCCAACGTCACCAAGCTCTGATAGAATAAGGATTCTGCAGTACCCACATAGATTCCTTACACCGGTGCACGTCCAGGCTCTGTTGAGAAAGGTGGATTTACGAGCAATCTTAACCCCACCTAGGTTGGCTTAAACAAGGAGTAGGATTGCAGTGTTAATCAAGTAGTCCAGTCAGGTAAACAAATTTCCATCGTAATATGAATGACTGCCAACTCCTGCTGATTATAAGCTTTGTTATTTTCTAAAGAATAAAATTGATTTTCGTCCAGCAACTACTTTTTCCAATATCAAAGCAAAACAACTCAGGCTGGCAACATGCAAATTATTGGAGAAGTGTTCAGCAGACATTGCAGAGATTATGAAAATCTACTTTGTTCAAATTACATTGCACGCCAGTTAATTTTACTTGTTATTTGCATTATGTTGCGCTTCTCCACATTTTCAGTCAAATGTTAATACTCTAGTAATAAAATCCCCATAGAACATGCATGCCACTTTGCCAAGAAAGACCCTTATTTTTAAAAACTGCAGAATAAACTTACTGTAAGAAATGTCTGAGTTTAAACTCAGGATTAAAAAATTAACGATATATTTCTCTGTTCCCAACGTTCTTTCATGGTCTTCTGAAAACTCTTTTGCACCCTCTAGAAACATAACATAGGGATGGTGAAGTAATGGCTCTCCAACTGTTGGACTGCAACTCCCACAATCCCTGACCATTTGCCTTGCTGGCTGGGGTTGCTGGGTGTTGAAATGCGACAACAGCTAAAGGAACCACATTTTATTCATGTAAAAACACATATGTAACAGTAAGCAAAGCACTAAACTAAAACTCAAAAAAAGGACAGCAACTTAAGTAAATTCCCCGATAAGGCAGGAGCTCTGAGGTAACCATGGAACTCCTCAGGCTGCAAGAGTCCTTTTGTTTATTCATTATGGCTTTTTCAATATAAGCTGCAAATGTAGGGCTAATACGTGACATGTCAAATATCTATTAGGAACCAGTGCACTTAGATACACATTCTTAAAATATGGCCCTCTTTGGATAGCCCTGGGCAAATACTCTGGTGACTACAAGGTTGTAGAATGTTCAGATAAATTGTAAAAGAACAAATTAAAGGAAGCCGAGAGCGAAGTCCAAGATTTCTGCATCTGAAACAAATGAGTTCTGCCAAAAATGTATTTTTGGAAGATAAAATGAAAGGTAGATTAAATTCACATCAGCACCACTTCAATTTGTTTTTGTGTACACACCAGGGGGCGATGACTGGGTGGGGATGTCTTTACCCTATGCAAAAGGGTTCTTATCTTAGCTAGAGATGAATTAGAAATGGCTTAAGGATTCCAATGGGTGTGAAGTTGGTTTGAAAAACAATACAAGCAGGATACATACACATTTGGGATGTCATGTGACTATGGATTAAAAACCCAGTATTGGAAATGCAGAATGTGCACAGTAAGCAGGAGTGTGAACAGAACCTTAAGAGTCTTTTTTTAAAAAATGATTTATTGCAGTGTGTTTTATTATGTTAGGGTGGACTGATATGGTAAATTAGAAATGAAGGGCGCTTTTTGAAGATTGTAAGGAGATAGATTGCTTCCAACCTCATGAGCCAATTCTGTGAGGAATAAGCCTTTGCTCCAGTACAAATATTGAGTAGGGTGGGAAGGTGGGTGGACAAAGATAAGTAAAATTAAATAAGGAGGAGGGGAATCTTTCTCTTTGTTCCGCAGTTGCAATTCATCATTGTGACCTGCGCTTGTGTCTGGAGGAATTCTCCAAAGTTATAATTGCCATTTTCTAACCAGATGCTTGCACCTTCAATGGAACAGGCAGAAATCCAACAGGTGTCCATTTTTTTCCTGCTGTGAAAAAAGCTTCCTCCTCCTCCCTACTGGTTAAAATCTACCGCCTTCGTTATGAACATCCCACATTTTCAGTTGTTATGGGACCAGTAGCCCTGGGCAGGAAAGAAAAGCAGCAAGCAACGCGCCCAAACAAGGACTTGCGCGGAATCAAACCGGGAGAAACCGCAGAGCAGAGGCAACACGCAGGAAAGGACTGGGAGGCGACGCAGCAGCAGCGGAGGGGCGTGGCTTAGAACTAGCAGCTGTAGAGGCGCGAGAGGGGGTGTGGCCCAAGCGCAGGTGGCGCAGGGACGGACACGCGGCCAGCAATCTGACAGCTCACGTGACGCGGCACATGGGCAACCGAGATGGGCTAGGGAGAGCTGAGCCTGCGGCGAGCACACGGAACTCTTTCTGGGAGGGGCGGGGCCTCGGCGCTGGCCGTTGAGAAGCTGCAGCTCCGCGAGGGCGTCATTTGAAAGAGGTTGCTAGGCGACGGCTCGCCGGTGGGGGCGGCGCCTCAACGGAAAGGCTTTTCCGTTACAATGACGGCGTTTCACCGCCAGTCTGAAGGGGAAAGGCGAAGGGGCGGGTGGCTGGTGTGGCGCGGCTGAAGCCAGCGCGTCTTTTTTTTTTTTTCGTGCCTGAGGCGAAGTCGTGTGAACGAGACAACGCGGCGTCCCTTCCTTCCCTCTGCTCGTGACCGAAGAACAGGACGGCTGTCGAGGGCGGCGTTCCCAGAGATGGGCCGCGGCGTGACTAACAGGTGGGAGGAATGGCCGACAGGAGAGCCGTTAGGCGGCTCCTTGAAACCCAGGGGCTTCGTGTCGGGGGCGCTGGACGACCTTCGGCGCTGCCGGAGGCAGGTGGGGTGTCCTGTCAGAAAAGGGGCGGGGCCTGAAGGGCGGAGGGGAGCTAGAGCTGAGGGTTTATTATTACACTTCTCCACCCTCAAGACGTAACTCCCTTTACCTTGACGGCTTAAAGGGGCCGGGCGCTGCAGCACGTCCCGTTCCCGGCAAAGGAGAAAGCGTGGGTGGGTTAAAAGCCAGGGTGGCCGCGAGGAGGCGACGTGCGCTACCTCCCGCCTTCCAGCAGCTTCGCGGCGACCAATGGGCGGGAAGGAAGGCGAGCAGTCCGGCGGAGTGGCGTGTCTCTGGCCCAAAGAGAAAAAGAGGGAGCTGGAGGGTCGGCTTGCCTTTGCGCCGCCTCGCTGCCCGCCCACCGCAGCTCTCTGCGTCCAATGGGAGGCCCGCTTTGCGAAAAGGGGCGGGAAGAGTGTGGGGTTAGGTGAAGAGGGAGGAGGCGCGGCCGGGCCATAGGCAGCGGCGCTCCTTTGCTGCAGCGTCACTGGGAGACTTGTTGGAGCTACTGTTAGCGGCGGAGGGAAAGCTGCGCCTAGGGGGTGGTGGGCGCCTCTCGACAGGGTTTTCCTACGACCGCCACGGGCTTTCTTCGTCGTCCTTTCCCCGCCCCGGCCCCGCGATCGTCCTCAGGGTCTGACCCTGCGCTTCTTTCCTTGGCAGGGAAGGATCGTGACTAGGAGCCTGAGACCAGCAGCGGGCGGCTTGAGGCGGCGGCGGGCGACTGGTGCCCCCAGCTCGCCCCGGGCCCCTCCCCTGCGATGGGGAATGGGTTGTCGGAGCAGACGTCGATCCTGTCGAGCCTTCCTTCCTTCCAGTGCTTCCACATCGTGATCCTGGGGCTGGACTGCGCCGGCAAGACCACGGTCCTCTACCGGCTGCAGTTTAACGAGTTCGTCAACACCGTCCCCACCAAAGGTTTCAACACCGAGAAGATCAAGGTGACGCTGGGCAACAACAAGACGGTCACTTTCCACTTCTGGGACGTCGGAGGCCAGGAGAAGCTGCGGCCCCTTTGGAAGTCCTACACCCGCTGCACGGACGGCATCGTCTTCGTGGTGGATTCTGTGGATGTGGAAAGGATGGAAGAAGCCAAAACGGAACTGCACAAAATCACGCGGATCTCGGAGAACCAAGGGGTGCCCGTGCTCATAGTGGCCAACAAGCAGGACTTGAGACACTCGCTGTCGCTCTCGGAGATGGAAAAGATGTTGGCCACAGGCGAGCTGAGCGCTTCCACGCCGTGGCACCTGCAGCCTACCTGTGCTATCATAGGAGATGGGCTGAAAGAAGGACTCGAGAAACTGCACGATATGATAATTAAGCGAAGGAAAATGCTGAGGCAGCAAAAAAAGAAGAGATGAGCTGCTGTAGGCATGAGGGGGTAATTCCTTCTTGGCATTGGACTAAAACAGTTCCTAGCACCTGGCCTGCTTGTTTGGATCCTGTACAGCCTAATAAAACACTCAGCCTGGTGGGAAGCTTTGCAGACACAGACCCTTTTACCTGGTTTCCCCACAAGTTATTGGCACTACAACTACTTTTTTTTTATAAAGAAAGCAAAACAGAAACAGCTCCCTTGTTGCATAGTACAAAATGATCAGGAAACAGATGGGTGGGTAAATGTGACCTGGATATCTTAAATAGCCAAATAAAACAATGAAGAGTGTTCTGCTTGGTGGTGTAATACTATGTTTGAGAGTGCCTTTGCAAGAAAACTGCGTTCAAGGCATTCAGTGTTTTTTCAACTACTGCTTGTATGTGGAGTGTTTAGATGAAGATATGCAGCTTTAAAATAGTATCCTTTAACATATATGGAGCTAGTATACCATTATTTAAGGAGGCTGTGAATGTGGAGGGTTTTTAATGAAAGTTTGGCAGTATGGTATGCTTTTAGATCTATTCTCTTAAAATAACACTTGTGGCTTGGATGATTTGAACTACCACTACTGTGGTATTCATGTTATCTGAAGCTTGATAGAGGGAAAAAGTATGGACTATATAAGAGCATGGATGAGTTTCCTGATAATGTAGCATGTCTTGGTGTGTAGGGGTTCTTTAGAAATAGCTGTGCATCGTTAAGCAGTGCTAATCAGGTTTGGACCATACTTATTTGTCCTATGGAGACATGTTCTAAAATGTTTGCTCGCAACAAACACTGAACAATGAGACAAAAGTAAACTATGACCATAAGGGACTTGGGTTTCTGGATTTTTATAGTGCAATATTACCTTTAAATGAAATTGATGGCAATAAAATTTGATCATAATGAATTGTAAATTAAGCTAAATTCAACAAAACTACATGTCCCACGTGCCCAGTGCTGTTAAAATGTGCTGCCAGGTTATTTTATTACCCTTGCAGTACTCTTAGGAATGTATTGAAGCTTTATACACTTGAAACATTTTGACACTGTGGAAAAACAAGAGTTTAAAGATGACCTGTGTCTGCTCAAATTATGCTTTAAGGTTTCCTTGTTTACAGTCATGCAAACAGTGTTAAGTAGGTGGGACAGCATATGATGGAAAGAAATTAGTTTTCTTACTGGTACAGTTTTTTAAAAAATAAATAAATGGGCAACTTGGGTAGCAGGTTAAAGGGCTAACGTGAATCCTGTATTACTCTACTGGTGCTGTGAAACATAAGAATAATTCCATGGTAAGAGAACAGCTCAAGGGGCAACAAGACTTCCACTTGGCACAACCCACAACACAGTTAGCATGTTCTCTTACCTACTAGTCAGATCATAGGGAGGATTAGTTGGAAAATAGGGAGGCTATCTGAATGTCAGGAAACATAACTTATTGATACTTGTATAAAATCAAATTTTATAGCCAGATACTGCTTAGAAGGTAACCAAAAATGCACTTTAGTGTTTTCCAATACTGAAAGTGACAGCTTTTTTTTAATTAAAAAAATAATGAAATCCTGGTCCTTTTTGAAAGAATTGAAGTAGCTTCCAATGGAGCTTTTGTACGTTGGTTATATGTACCTGCACTAGTGACATTGAAAAGTCACTTAATGTCTATATTTATAGAAATGTGGATAACTTCTTAAACCTCAATAAACCCAACTCCAAATGAGTCATCGGCAACAGAAGTTGACAACATTTTACTGTGCGGATCATACTTTTTATCAGAACTGTCTGCATGAAACTGAACCCTTTATTCATGTGAGATTTGTATATGTGACAATGTTAAAAATCGCAGGTATCTTATTAAAGATTTAATGGCAATTTGCATTACGTTCTATGTTTACAACAGAAATCTTATTGATACAGTCATTTGTGGTTTAAAATTCTTTTTTTATTACAGTGCCTGATACTGTGGTATAAAATAGGTTTTTCTCATTAAATTGTGGAAAAGTTCAACTGCTTTAAAAAAGGTGTGACATTCTTTGTTGCTTTGTCACAGTTCAGCATTCTTCATAACTGCTCTTGAACTCTGAGGCCCTATGTACACAACTGAATATGAAGTATAAGGGGCTAGCCATGGTGTTCCCCTCCTTCATTGATAGCAAATACATTTCCAGAAGAGTATGTATGGGTTTTATCTCCCCTGGCTACATAGTTTTAAAGTACCCTTTCAGTAATTATAAATAACTGATGCCAAACGGGAGTTTAAGCAAAAGTAGCAGGACCCTGACTGTCCGAATTAAGCCACTGAGCACCACAGAATCCCAATGCAGATGAATTTCGCATAAGACTCTTATGCTACACAAACAATTCTTGCATGCACCTATAGTGCTGTGTCCCATATGCATGTGAGAGGCGAAAATACCTGCAGCTGCCAATAATTCCTCTACGTTGATCCTGTGGACTTCAGTAGGTGACCGACAGGGTCATACTACCATTGCTTACATTTGTGTACTTCAGCCTTTAAGCATTTTAGAAGTCTTGGTGGTTTTCCAATATGTGTAGTATACTTTATAAAAACAAATTGTCAAACATAAGGTGATGCCTTATTAAAGCAGTGCAATTTTGCTGTGTTGTTTGGAGACTGAATAGTCAATTTAGCTGATCTAGATGGAGCCAGCTGTCTGCTGAGTACTCCTTTTCAATATTTTTGTAAAGGTGTGTCCTCTTAAAACTACTGCTGTGAGAATTTGCAGTAAGGTGTTTTTTAGTCTCCCCACCTCACACCTTTCTGGTGTGGCAGCACCAGGAAGAATATTCTGCTGCTGGGAAAGATCCAATTTGCCCAAGCCAGACATTCAGCATTCTGTGGCCATTGAATGTGGTGTTTCTTGTGTGTCTGCCAGAGAAGAAAGTCGATTGCTTGTTTGAGTCTCTCCCCGCCCCCTTTCAGGATTTGCTGAACATGGTTCATTTTCTCCTTATTCTTGCTTGGAAGGGGTGTACTTACTAGAAGCAAAATATAGATTTACTGGAAACGTAACAATTCTGGGTTAAAGCTAGGGATTCTTTGAGACTAGGTGAAACTTTCCACTAAAATGGACAGGAAAAGGAGGAAATACCTGTTGAGAGAAATATTTAGTGGGTGGGAAAAAACATTTTCCTATTTTTTTTGTCCCTCTTCCTGTGCAAGACTTTGATGTAGATTAATAGGATTCTCTCTGTAGATAAGGTTGGTTCTTTGGACATTCAGTAACTACACTTCAGCCACAGATTTAAGGGGGAGGGGGAAAGCAGCCAATTTTCTTTTTGTTAGCACAAGCCAGTATATTATCCATGGTACTCCATGGTTCACCCAGTTTTGCAAGAAAAGAGGGCAGCCACACATCCATAAATCACTAAATGAAATTCTGTTGTGCTTCTAAAGGCTAATTTATGGAACATTTTAGTAAAGCTTAGTATGATATTGAAAGAAGTTCTTGTGATATGATGCACCAAGACACACATGTTTTGGTAGTGCAACTGTAATTGTATTGCTTTATTCCATCCATGATTGAAGCCAAGGCAATATTACATGTGGTTTCTAACCAGCCACACATCTGTAGTATGTGTTATGCCTCAGTAGCAATAACTAGTTACGTGTGTGTGTGTGTGTGTGTGTGTGTGTGTGTGGCAATGAAGTTGGATGACATTCACTGCAGAATGAATGTTTCCAGACATTTGAAAGTATCTTAATCTGAAAGAAAGTTTTACTAGTTCTTCTGAGATCTAACCATGTAGAACTGGGGAATTCAGCCAGGCTGTAACAGATACACAAATGCAGCAGGGAGAGCAGGATGGGAAATGGTTGTTTATAGCTCTTCTATGGGGAAATCCATTGTTTGTGTTGCAGTGATTCATTAAAATTATGCTTGGCTGTTTCTCCCTATCTGAATATTTTGAAAGAGATGCTATCTATGTTGATAAGCAATAGATAGAAAGGTTTTGTATATAAGCACCATATCATGCTGAATATAAACGTGTGGCCAAGATAGGTACAATGGGTTGGATCCAGGTTAAGTTAGTTGCACTTCAACCCCATTATAGTGATACCTCTGGTTAAGAACTTAATTCGTTCTGGAGGTCTGTTCTAACCTGAAACTGTTCTCAACCTGAGGTACCACTTTAGCTAATGGGGCCTCCCGCTGCCACTGCGCCGCTGGAGCACGATTTGTGTTCTCATCCTGAAGCAAACTTCTTAACCCAAGGTACTGTTTATGGGTTAGCAGAGTCTGTAACCTGAAGCGTCTGTAACCCGAGGTACAACTGTACTTTTAACATAGGTTATGTGAAAAGTAATGGGATCTAAGTGCAACTAACTTAGTCTGGATCCTACCCAATGAGTATAATTGAGCATTTAGAAAAGTTTAACTTGCTCACAGGTACTTTATTTCAATCTGTTTTGGTTTGAATAAGTGGCTTACAGGTACTCTAATGCAGACATTTTTCGGCCTCTTAAAAGTTTATTGCAGTGTTTCAATCTATATAATCCCTAATGAATTTGCTAGATTTTTCCCACATCTTCCAGTTTACAAGAATTTATTTTAAACTTCTGCTTCTAGAGAAATGGGGCAAATGTAGGTTCCAGATGCACCTGGAAGTACTTCCATAATTATGGACTTCCATAATATATAGGTAGGTTCCTTTCTCAGCCTTACTTAATATTATTTTGCACATACAGTATTCACAACCTCCTTTCTTGGCAACTGAGCTTAGACTTCAGAGCTGACCCATGCTGCTGACAAAATCACATCTCTTTTTGTTGTTACTCTTTACTGAACGGCATGATTGGCTCTTCCATTGTTTGTTCTCTAGCAACTACCTGTTAGAGCACCAGTTTGTTTTTTTAATATAGGGTGCATTTCAAAGGTGTTTACAGGCTGAATAAATTCAGATGATGATGATGGTGATTAATTTTCTTATACCCCACCAGCCACTCTGGGCAGCTTCCAACAATGGCTGTATGGAGTAAAAAAACACTGAAGAAGTGGGACCTACAACAAAATAAAGCAGTGTAGAGTGGTCCAATCTGCCCCCGGTGCCAGTCAGTCTGCTGTATCTCCTTTCGGAATACTTCATTCCGCATCCCTTTGTGTGCCACTGAGCATGCTCAGTCCTAATTAGGGTGTCTTTGAGCCCCCAAGTAGGTTTTTCCCCCTAGTGTTTACATGGGCAGGGCGAGAGGGTTTCTCACCTGATAATCTTCCTTCTTGCGAATGGATGGTGCTATTTTGGTTTCGTAAGGATCAACACCCAGAGAATTAGTTCACTATTAACACACTATTGGATATAGGATGATTTCAGCTTTGGGATGGACAGGAGGTGTATAGAACAATTCTTCTCTTGGTAGGAGGGAGGAGACTGTTTGAAACCACAGTCGTATTTAAGGAGCAGTCTATCCTGTTACACACTTAAGAGAGTTAATGGGGCCTGTGCAGGTTTTGGGCATTCTTATATTTTGCTTAGGGGCAAAGTCATCAAAGAGTTTTTGCCCTGTAAGCAGATTGGGAAAGAAGAAAGAAAGTGGCAATAGTTTTGTTTCTTTTCAAATGAGAATATTGTGGCAGTGCAGAGGAAGCAGGAAATAGACATGGGGTCTGGAAGTTTTGGGAACAGTAGGGGGAAATGGGAAACTTGGCAGTCAGGATTTTAGTGATTGGGGATTCCTATGTGGGTTTGGGCATTAAGCTATCTAGCACCTTCTTTTGGTCAACAAATTGAAAATTAGTTCAGTTTCCTGTTTAATGCTAAGGTTTTTGCAGCTGTTTGGAGTAGCTGGGGGCCTGCTATAACTCATTTGTCCAATTCCCTATCAAACCTTGGTCTTTGTTTTTCCATCTCTTATAAACCTGAGTTTTGTAGAACAGTATTTCCCTCCACCCCACCCCCTGTACCATAAGTAACTTAAAACAATGTATTTACAGTACTTGCCAGAATTATCAGGGTCTTGATGGCAAAATTAGCTTTGGGATGAGGCTATTTCAGAAGCTTATTACGGGAGGGAGGTGGGGGGTGGGGGACATTTTACAGTGTTGGTTTTCTATTCATGTTTGCCAGAGAAAGTCCCGATGCAAAGCTGGCTTATCTGAGAAGCAATGGAAAGGTGGAGTATTTTCAGCTTGTGTACAATAGGGACAATTTCTAAAAATATCCCACTGTTGCTAAGATCAGATGAGCTTCGTTGTGTTAGCAGCCTTAGGGAGCTCTGCTTGAAATGCTCTGCTGGCATTTTTAACACCCATCTCGTGATGCGACCCAATGTTAAATGCTTGTAGTTTCTGGCAGACCTCAAGCATGACAGATCTCGTGCTTTAATGTGGTAGACAAAACGCTGAAAATGTCCAGAAAACGCATCCTGCTCTGTTGAGCCATTTTCTTTTTCATTGGGGGAAAAAATATCTTTCTTTGATCATTGCACGAAGGTATCTGGCAATTGTTTCTCTGTGTAGTCTTGGAAATGCAAGTTGTGCTTAGAGTGCATATGAAATGGGCTACTGATATATATGCCAAATACCACTTCTGCATTATTAATAAGAGCATCTTCTGCATGAAGCAGCGATTTCTGGAAAGGCAGGGAGCTCCCACTCATCTGCAGAGTGTGCATTAGAATGATAGGCTATTGCTCTAAAAAGGCTGGGTCTTACTTCCTTTATCTAGCCCCGACCCAAGCTCTATCAATGGTAACAGCACTCATGACTTGTCCGGTTCTCCTCCCTTTTCCTCCTAGAAATGCTTTCATGCAGAACAGATGTGCCTGACTCAGCTACATCGGGCAAGGAACAGAAGTTGCACGATGGTTTTCTGGCACGAAGATAAAGTGATAGGGGGAAGGTTATATTTGATTATTTTGT